AGAGTAGAGAGAGAGAGAGAGAGAGAGGTGTAGAGTCAGGAGAGAGAAGATCGACAGATCAAGAGAGTGAGAGAAATGGTGAAGGACGAAGATGGACACCCCCTCCTCCTTGGAAGCGGCAGCAATGCATGGAAGACTCGGCGTGCCTGCGAGTCATGCCGCGCAGTCCCGAGCGCCATCTTCTGCCGCGCTGATGGGGCCTATCTCTGTACACCGTGCGATGGCCGTGTCCACTCTGCCAACCTACTCGCGTCGCGCCACCAGCGTGTGCTCCTCTGCGAGGTCTGTGAGGCAGCCCCCGCCTCCCTCACCTGCAAAGCCGATGCCGCCGCCCTCTGTGCATCCTGCGACGCCGACATCCACGCTGCCAACCCCCTCGCCTCCCGCCACCACCGCCTTCCAATCCTCCCCCTCTCTCTAAAAAGTGGAATTCAAGACAGAGAGAATGGAAATCAAGAGGAGGATGAGAGAGAAAGTGAAGAGGAGGCAAATTCTTGGCTGAATATAGGAGGTGGAGGTGGAGGTGGAGGTGGAGGAGGAGGAGGAGGAGAGAGAAACACTGTTTCAAATGGGTGCTTTTATGGGGATGTGGAGAGCTATTTGGATATTGATTTTGGGGTTGATGGTATAAATGGTTTTGAGGGAGGGGAGATGGGGATGAAAGATGGAGGGGTGGGAGAGTGCATAGTGCCTGTGCAGCCTAGCAATAGTAACAACAGTGATTGCATCAACAATAATGGAAGCCAAAGTCATATGAATGGTAATAACAACAGCAGTAGCTGCAATAATTTGGAGTTTTTGGAGATGGAGGTGTGCAAGGATGGATATGGGTATACTGCATCTCTTAGCCACAGTGTAAGTAATTTCTGCTCTTCCTCAATTGCTTTTGTTCTTTGGATTTTTGGCATTTTTTTTTTTTCAATTGCTGCTCTAGTCTCTATCTATTCTCAAATTTAGTTGCTTTTCTTTAATCTTGAAAAATAAAATCTATATCCAGCTCTTGCTCAATTGCTTTTGTTCTTTCGATTTTTTGCATTTTTTTTGTTCTATTGCTTCTCTATTCTCAAGTTTAGTTGCTTTTCTTTCATCTTGGAAAATAAAATCTATATCCTTGATGGGCTTGACAGCTTACTTGTTGGGTGAATTTTAATATTTGATTTTTATTTTTGGTTTATTGTTTTTCAATTTTGTGGGTTCTTTTGTTTGCAATGGTTGGATAGATTAATTGGGGTGAGGGGTGAGTTTAACTTTATTTTTCTTAATACTATGTTGGTTGAGAAGTGCAGAATATTGATAACTTTTCCCATTTCTCATGAATCTTCCTTTGTGTCCATGTAGTGGGTTTCCTTTTCTCCATTGGGGCTGTGAACTTCATTTCAACTCTTTTTGAATCTCTCTCTCTCTGTATTTAATATTTTACCTGTACTTTCATCTTCTCGCTGTTTTGCCTTTCCCTCACGTCTCTCTCTCTCTCTCTCTTAATCAATATTTTACCTATACTTTCACCATCTTCCTCTTCTTTATCTTGCCCAAAAGTAACGAGACTTTTCCCAACAGAAAATTGGGAATTCAGTGAAGATTGTGAATGAAGGGACAGCTTTATGGGTGCTGATCTTTGACCATCTCCTTCCTCCTTTCTATTTCTCTTATCAAAATTACGTTTATCTTTTTTTTTGAAAGTTGTGGATACCTGCTGGTTATATTGGGATTGGCTTTATTCCTGGTCCTTGCAAATGCCACATAGTCTTAGTTTCATGCCCGCATCTATGAAAGGGTAATTTCCTATGGCTTGCTACTACTAAAATGTCTCCAGAATATTCAGCTGTGTTCTCCAAACGTTGGCTTTTCTTTATTTCATAGTAGCAAAAAGGTTGGACCACTTGTATATATATTTATACTCTCTATAGACTACTAGGTATTTGTTTATGGAGTGCATGTCCCATGTTATTACTTTCTTGCTTTGACCTTAATCCAAAAATGAACTGAGACTTTCAGAGAAATTTCACTTGAATTTGCAATCTCTTGTATGAAGAACACTTTTGGGGTCTGATAAACCTAAATTCAGAGACACTTCTTGGGTTTACTTCTCTTTCTTTTCAGAGGCTTTCTGCAAATTTTCAGGCAATAATATGACTCATATTCTTCCCTGTTTTCTTTAGGTTTCTTCATCTTCTTTAGATGTTGGGGTCGTCCCAGAGGCGAATATCACTGATTTCTCAGCTTCTCACTTAAGAACTTCACGACTGGGAGACATCACGACTGGCCACCCTCTTCAAATGTCCCACCAATTCACTCCCATGGATAGAGAAGCTAGAGTGCTGAGATATAGAGAGAAGAGAAAAACCAGGAAATTTGAGAAGACGATCAGGTATGCCTCTCGTAAGGCTTACGCAGAGACGAGGCCTAGAATAAAAGGCCGTTTTGCAAAGAGGACTGATGTAGAGGTTGAAGTCGATCAATTTTACTCAGCTTCTCTAGTGGCAGAGACCGGTTATGGCGTCGTTCCAACCTACTGAAGAGAGAAAAAATCAGTCCTTGCAATTTGAATGTGGCTTTTTGTAATCACAGTTACTTGTGATTCACTGTATATTTATCAAGACGCTCCGATGTAATTTGGAGAATCATATCTATTTTGTTTGTAAACAAAGTTTATATTCATCTGATTCTTAAATCATGTAGTGGAATATGCTCTGAAATCATTGTGAAAATCTGATAGATTTGATCTGATATACAACAAGAGCATTATGTTTGAGTTAGAAGTTTGGACCATGAAGAATGTAATCAGGAACTTCTTAATTAACCCAACAAACTTCTATTAACGAGACAGAGTAATGTCATAACAATCAAAATGAACTAAAAGAATAATTAGAGGTGCTATGGCATATATGAAGCCCTGGCAGAGGTCCGATTACCTACAATTTTGCTCAGAATAGCAAGAGTTTGCATATTCAAACTTGCAGCACTAGAGCACCCTCAAGTCAACAAAAACCAACACCTCCAAGTATAAAGAAAACTAAGCTTTCACCCATGAAGAGAAAGGCGATTACACCTTTGTGCTGTGGATTCAAGACTTTCCATTTCCACTCAATCACATACGAAGTTATCGCTAGTTGAGCCAAGAAGTACTCACTTAAGCATGTTTATCGGAAGGCAAATGATTTAGCTGATGCCTGAGCTAGATTTGGTGTGGGGCTACAAAATCTTGCTGCAAGTGAGACCTTGTTAATGGTAATAAGATTAACATCGTCAAAAAAAAAAAAGTACTCGCTATCAATGGTAATGTTAAAACAGCTCTCTATTTCAATGCCGCAGTTTTCTTCCAAAAGTGAAAGGGAGGAATAAGGATATTTTTGCTTTGTTCAATGTACATCATCTACCGGGGTACTTAACCGGGCTAGCGCAGGCGCGCACATGCACAGTGCTGGTCGGAAATGTTGTCAAAAACTCGGTTAGGATACCACTTTAGCTCTGGGGCTGAAGCCAACGACTTAGCCTCTTCAGTGAAACGAAGAGAATTAGTAAAATTGTTCAGAGTTCAGAATATTGGAGCAGGGTGACTAAAGAAGAGATCAAAAGGAGTATGAAAAAAGAGTAAAGTGCATAGAGAGGAGGTGAGGGGAGAGCATATAGAGAAAGAGATGTAAGAAGTTAATGGAGCAAGTTCATACATGTAGAGAATTGATTGATGTTCCGATGATTAAAGGCAATATGAAAAAGAGAAGCAGCAAAAGTGGTATTATATCGGATCAAAATCTGTAGCAAAGAATATGCACAACCTTGTAGAAGCCCTCAGATATTATCTAATATGTGAATTATGTGAGGCACATGCCAACCAATAAAGTTTCAAAATCTGTAGCAAAAAAGCTCCAATAAAGTTTTGAGCCTTTCTCTTCCTCAAAGGTCAAGAGAGAGATGGGTGGTATGCTTTTTGGCCAGTTGATTCTAGAGAGAGAGAGAAAGAGAGAGTTGGGTTGGCCATTTGATTCTCCATCTCTCATGGGCGCGGGTGTGATTCAATAAACCCCATTTTCAGAACTTGGAAGGCAGGCCCCCTTGAATCCTTATCAAGCCTTATTGGGCTTTCTTTTTTACTTTTCATGATGCATCTCCCATTTCTTGTCTATCTACCTGATTCCTTTAAGCGTCTACGTCTTGGACAAAAGTACAAGATACTCTTCCAAAAGTAACCTAGAATTTATCGTGCATAGTATCCCAAAAGTAACATGGAATTTATCGTGCATTTTGAGAGTGAGAGGGGGTGGAAATTTATTGAACTCATCATTGAATCATGTCAATCCACTAGACCTATGATATTGAGCAGGCTTTTTCACTTACAAGACAGAGACAGACCAATGGATACTCACCATCACACGGGCCAAGGTTTCAAAAAACGGACCAACCGGTTTTCCTGGTCGGAACCGATACACTTTAATCATAGTTATATGAATTTTAATGCAATAAAAACATTGCTCCTAGATAGATGTGAGAATCCTAAACCTTGTTTAAAGTTTTTTAAACATAATCACTAATTTACAAAAATGGCCGAGTCAACCAATCCAACACAGCAAAAGAGCTCAAGCTTAAATGGTTAGCACTTAGAAGATTTGCAACACAACGTCCTAAGCTCAATTCCTACCAAGGGTAAGGGCCTTTTCCCATTGATCCAAAAAAAGAAAAAACCAATCCAGCTTAGAAACAAGGGGCAACCAATTCAACTACTAATCCACATTTTTAAATACTGACCCAGGTTGAACCGAATATTGCTTTGGATTCACTGATCAAATTCAACAATCATCTCTCACTACATCCTTCCACATACAAGGATTAAAAATGGCAGTAACCCGATGCTGATCCCACCTAAACATGGTCCCAAGAGGGTGGGCTGGAGATGATCCTAACCTTTAGCTTATGCACAAAGTGGCCGCTCTCAAACCGGCACGCTCTTGCACTGGCTATCCAAACCTTCTACCACACTAAGACTAGTCATCACAAAAGGAGATGGGCAAGCGTTTCTCTCTCTCTCCACAAATGACTGACTTCTGACTTTTCTTTCCAAGAGAGTTCATATAAAGGGGAGGAAAGAAATAAAAAGCAACTTCATCAAAGAAGAAAAAGAAATAAAAAGCAACTTCATCAAAGAAGAAAAAGAAATAAAAAGCAACTTCATCAAAGAAGAAAAAGAAATAAAAAGCAACTTCATCAAAGAAGAAAAAGAAATAAAAAGGGTAGGGATGTCTCAAAGGCATAAAAAACTCAGAAAAAAAATCCATCAGAAAAAACCTCAAAAGCCAAACCAAAATGCATTCCCTAGTGTAAAATGTTCAGCTTCTGCATTTGCTGTTGATTATCCAGAGCAGTCCAACTGTCTTTTTTGTGGATATTTATACAAGCCCAGAATTGCAGTAAGAGCTTGGGCAGACGAAATAATCATAAATAAATTATCCGAAGCTTAGACATAGCAAACAACCTCAACAACCTTACAATAAATTGCATTCACATAAAATAATCAAAGGGAGAGAATCAAATTTTCATTTTTCTTCTAATCACCGGCTACTTTTACAAAATCATGTCTAGGAATGAAGATGGCTGCATTTTGCAGCATCAATCTATTCGTACACATCATAGAGCTAATCCATTCAGTCGTCATGATTATCTTCACCTTCAGAATCTGTTACGGCAAGTCGGCAATACATATTTCAAATCAGTGAATATAAGGATGGTTTGTTAGCCAATTTATAGTTTTCTTTTTGAGGCAGCGTGAGGTGAAAAACGTCGCTTGTTTACAGCTATACAATAGGAAAAATACATAAGTAAACAAGCCATTTGTTAACATTGGCCTGGCTTCAAACTAATTGCAAACTCGCAATATAACACAATACATAGCAGAGTCTACAACACTGGGTGGGGATAATGTTAGGGAATGCAGCCCACATGTTTCGACAGCACACTATACAATGCTCTCTCTCTCTCTCTCTCTCTCTCTCTGACAGCACACTATGCAATGCTCTCTCTCTCCCTCTCTTCAACAGCACACTATGCAATGCTCACTCTCTCACACACACACACAACCCAAAAACATTCTGCAATAATAATTGATAAAATGTATTGAGTTGTGGAGTGGTAGTGATAAGCATGCAACCTGAGAAACTACTGGAAGGTACCAAGATAGAATCCCTACTTTGCAAGGACAGATTTTTCAAAATGACCAGAGTAGCCTCCTGAGAGAGTTTTGAGCACCAAGCCCATAAAATTTCAGGTCAACAAGCAATTGAATTATTATGGTCTAAAACTGGGACACAAATCATCCTAGAGAACCTCAAACTGACTTTTTGTGTTGGCATATTTATGTATAAAATACTGAATGATTGCATCAGTAAAATATTCTTAAGAATGGACCTTGTTTTCAACTCTTTATTGTTAGGCAAGCAATTGAATCATTGACCACATCGTCAAGAAATTGACACAGAGAAAACCTACTACACCATCACCAGCAGCTAGTGGGGTGGTTTTAGTCATATTTTCGAAAAATAATACTGGCAATCCATTAGTTTTCCATTATTTTTTAGCAATTTTTAACGATATATTTTTTGACTGCCCTTTTCAAAATACAAATCTTTCAAAAATGCATGTATAAGCGGACTTACCTCTTTCTTTATCCACATGGGTAAGTAAACTATAGGCCATTGGGGACATCAACATCCAAGGTCATGATAGACGGTGATGACAGGAGAGTGGGCCTGACCATTGGGTTCCTTCTCTACTCTGACGAGTCCTACTCTCACTCCATCACCATCCATCATTACATCGGACAAATTCCTAATGGACTGTGGTTGCCATAGTCCATCAGAATATACTGTACTTTCCCTTTAAACAAAAGTGAGAAGTGGGTTAAACAAAGAAAAGGGGTTTATGGGTTAAGTATTTGGGTTAGGTACCAGATCTAACATCATCCCCAAGCTGGCCTCTCGCTTCGATTTGTCTTACAAGCATCCGGTACATTAACACCCACCAATAAAAGTGAAGAACCAGCAGGCAGAAGAGCAAAGAATTGAACACATAATAGTATATGGGTCCTTCTACCTTGTGCTTCTCCTTGTCCAAGGTCAAGAGAACTTCATAGCTGCCATGAAAAGAAAAGCACCAAACTGAAATAAAAAGTGTCACGGATGCAAAAATCAAAACCAAAATCCCCAAGAACATAGAGACAATAGCCACATAGCACACACAACAAATATTTATTTTTATTTTTTACTAAGTGATTTATCCAATGTCTCAAATTATGATATTCCACATATTGAGCACTCACAGCGAGTAATCTAATACTATTGTCATTGATACTGTTTTTAACAATAAAACTCTCTCTCTCTCTC